CCTTTTTTTTTGATTTTAAAACCCTGGGGGAGGGGCCACTTTTTTTTTTTTGTTTGGCCCGGGGAGGGGGAGAGTTTTATTAGTTCGGGGGTGGGGGGAAACTGGGTTTTGGGGGGGGGGGGGGGGGGCTCGTGTTTGTAGGTGGGGCTGAAATATTGCCAAGCACTGAGCACGCGAAACGAGAAAGCGGCCTCACGCCGCAAACAACATACTAGTGCGAAGGAAGAGAGAAGCGTATCCATGATCTTAGGCCACTGTTTCCACGATGTTAGACCAATGCGTTACAGATGATAGCAGATCCACTTTGCTGTAGATCTTGGAAGAGTGCAAAAACCTTCGGGGTGGGCTGACGAAAGAACAATGTTATCAATTGGTGAAGCAAGATGAAAACAAAGGCGGAACAGCAGGACCAGCCCGCAGTTGGCTGCCAGCTGCCAGAGGTGGTGACGTTTCCCAATCTCAAACAACTCACCACAGCTGACGTGTTTTTTACTCGCGCATAACCCAGCGAGCATCAACGAACCAAAAAACATTTTTTCCAAATCTATCTGCAGACAGTCTTACGGAGGATGACCTTTTTTTCTGTTGGGAGGCACATGGCTGGCTGAATAGAGCACACGCAAGAGAGCAAGCAATCATATTCGGACCCGCTTGTCAACACTCTGAACGAGGAAGAGGGGGTGTACACGGTCTTCTGTTGCGACAACGGTAGCGCAAATCGGCTACGCGATTTTGGGGAAAAGTACTGGGGTTCAGGATAACTTTGTTGACCCCCCCGAGTACATAATTGCGCCGTACTTGTCTTAACCCTCGTGAAGAATTTCCATCACCTTTCCACAAACAATGCGCGTCCCAGGTCGACAACCATCGTCTCGACAATGCCTTTGATGGAAGTTGAATCACTGCCACTCTGTAGGAGTCTGCGAGGCGTCTTCAGTGTGCCCAAACATCTCTCCAGTCGACTTTTACCACGAAAATCACAAGATCAAGGGCTCAGCTGGGCCAGGTCTGCAGAGTGAGGGAACGTTCCTTCACGATGTTTTGCTGCGACGATATGTAGATGCTAAATACGGCAGCCGATGCACATGTTCGGGATACAGAAGAAAAACTCACGTACCACATCGATACTTGACACACAACAATACACGATGTACATTGCTCTTCTCACACATACATCACGCCTGCGTATATCGAATCAAACACACGTTCTTCGATCATGTCCAAGACAACCAAGGGGCGGCCCAAACGGCGGTATTTAGTTGCGATTTTCATACACGAGACGCACACACATGGACTGACTAGTCAAGCGGCACGCGTGTGACCTACAACGCCGTGACAGAACGCGTCCCAGGTTTCGGACAGGGGTTGCATCGCCCAGCTTCGTCGGCAGGTGGTCGGGGATATTCCCCTGCGTGCGGGAGCAAAGCCTCTCTCTCTCTATGCACACCTCTCTCTCTCGACGTTACGATCATATAATACGACAAGGCCTCTCCGGTACTCGACCCCCTCTCCTCATTTTGACAAGCCTGAAGCGCCACGAAAACAAGAAAGCCGATCGGCGGTTTTGCTGCTCGAAAACTTGAAAGCCTTCTTTATTCTGAGTGGTGTTCTTTTGCATTCCTCCGCGTTCGAACCGCGCCCGATTTAACATTTAACGAAATCCTCGGGACGTCCGCCTAAGATATCAAAACTTGTCGACATTCACGACTGACTCAACAACACCCCTCCCAACACCAAATACTCGTTTCGAAAAGGCGGGCGAGACTTACGCTGCTGCACCGCCGACTACCGGAAGAGTCGGAGAGATGGCACCCCCATGTTGGCGTTTTTTCATAGCGTTTTTCTCCACAACTAGGAGGGTGCGAACACCAACCGATACCTGGTTGTGGATAAGTACGCAATGAAAAAACGCCATCTCTCCGACTCACACGGCACTGCGCGGCAGCTCCAAGGAAAGGCGTGCGGAGGAACCTCCATCGAAGAAGATAGCCAACCTCCCGAAAACGAAATCAACACCAGGAACAAAAAACACCAACAAGCGAAAACATCACACCCATGAACATGACACTATAATAGTATTTTGCCGCCGTCCCCGAACTTTCGACGGCATGCGTGCGGAACACCTAAGCAACACCAAGCCTTCCCCTATCCCCCCATAACGGCCTTACACTTCAACTCGGTCGTTTCAAAGACCAACATACACACAACCAAGCCCACAGACCCCAGACCCCTACCCCCCGCCGTTCTTGTTCCTCCTACTTGTACTTTCGCGAGCGGCCGACTCGCTCATTCTCATCGTCATGGACGGGGGGGTCATCCATCACCCAATCCTCGTCTGTCCCATACGCGGCCCGGTCATCATCCCTCACCCACTCCGCTCCCTCCTCTTGCTTTTCTCCCCTCTCTTCTTTTTGATCCTCGTCGTAAGCCTCGTTTCGGAGTTGGGAGCGCACGTCCATAAGCGCTTCTCCGAGCTTGTTCCTCCCAGGCCACCTTAACAGCAGCAGCAGTGGAAGCAGCAGCAGCAGTGAGAATACAGCGCAGAAGCCTATCCTCAGTGCGTCGTATTGGCGGCAGGAGAAAATCGAAAACGCAAAGCAACCATCTCGTACACTGTACCAGGCTGGCTGTACGTGCGTCCACACGTGTGAATGGATGTGTCGAAGATGAAAAGAAAACAGGGACCCCGGGGCTGTGGTGTGGTACGGAGCAACCTAACGCCGCCGAAAGAACCATGCTCCGTGAAACAAGGACAGACGATAACTAAACGAGAATCGACGGCGACACAGGGGGCTACACACACCGATGGCCTAGGCAGGCACAAAATGGCGGGGTAGTCATTCAACAACAACAACAAACAACAACAACAACAACAACAACAACAATAATAACCAAACTAAAATACCTTGCTTGGATCAGGGCGTCCGCATCGTTTGCGTGGAGTCCGATGCCCCACTCGCTGTCGTAAGGGCTGGCCTCCGCCAGGATCTGTGGTGAGCCGCCCGAGGTTAAGCAGGGGGGGGGGGGGGCGTCATCCGTCCGGCCGCAGACAATCCCGTGAAGGGGGCAAAACAAATTGTTTCTTAACCCCGACAGAAACAGTCTTGGATGGCGAACAGAGCCACCAGACCTGAGCAGGAAAACGTGTGGAGATTACAAATCGATTCGTTCACACCACCCCGCAAACGACACGTGTGCGTATTCCGCGGCGGAGAGATGGCGAGTGCGCGTCGTGTCGACACTCGCACCTCCGGCAACTAATAAACACACGGAGAGAAAGACAGTGAGAAAGAGAGATAGATAGAGAATGAGAGAAAGAAAGAGAGAAAGAGAATAAGAGAAAGAGAAACACCGACAGACAGAGAGAGACAGACAGGGAGATACAGAGAGAGACAGACAGACAGACAGACAGACAGACAGACAGACAGACAGACAGACAGACAGACAGACAGACAGATAGACAGACAGACAGACAGACAGACAGACACATGAGACACGCACGCGGCGTACGTACGTACCCTGTCTCCCGTGGCGAGAAGCTCGTCCCGGAACCCCGGGTTCTGCTTGAACTTCGCCAAGTTCCCCCTGACGACCACGTCGTAGCCCTTCTTGTCCCACATCGCAGGATCAAAGCCCCTGACCTGACGGCCCAGTGCCTTCTGCCTCCGGGGGTCCGCGGTCGCCATGATTTGCTGCAGTGCGGTCCTGAGCGTCACAGTTTGGTACGCACGCGGGGGGGGGTACTCATGTAAACGCATGCCGTAGTCATTAATTAAATCATTGACCTCGCGCCCGGGACGGAACGATATGCAGGGTTTTCGCCGGCCCAGGCGAGGCCGCAAAACGGGATGGTGCGAAACGACAGCTGATTCAGGTTATACCTACGTAGTGACTTTTATTGGCGAGTCTGAGGACGAACGGCCGTCCCCATGGCCCAGCGTCGAAGGGATCGGTATGACGGATCCCTGCTGTCGTGTGGATTCTGCGCGACGATCGTGGTGGCAGTCAGTCGCCATTGAATGTGCGTCCCCGCAAAATCAAGCTATGGCGGGGGCCGGGGTTTATGTATGGCGGGGGCCTGTGGTGACCGCATCGTGAATACGTGCCCGCCCATCTCGCAGTGTCTCAACGCAATACGAAAAGGCTTGAATAGACTCAAAATTAGCCGAGTACCCAGTCGGTTTTTTCTCCCCACTCACTACTGTCAAGACTCCAACTCATCCCCTTCGACTGTGGTTATGTCTCGATTGACTACATAGTCTTTTTTTAATGTATGTTTTCAAAACTTTACCGGCTGGCTGGTTGGGCGGCAAGTGGGAAAAACATACCATGTGGCACTGCTGTGGGCCGCAGATATTTCTGCGCCTCTCGCAAAATAATTTGGTCTCATGCCACTCTTGCTGTTGAACCAAAGAAAGCAAGGTACAGCGCTCATTCCCTGACAGGGATGAACTGCTGTAAACAGAAGGAACGGAGACAGCAGAAAGAGAAAAAGGGCTTGAATACCAAAATATACCCTGATCAACCCAAAGCAACCCTAGTGTGGGCGGAGTGTGGTAGGCAGCGTGCACCGCAATACCTGTCGTTGAACAGCCTCGCCTTGCTCGCCATCATCCACTGCTCCGCGTTGCAGTAGCGTTCCTGTCACGTCAAACAAGTTCACACAAAAAAAGGCAAGAGCAAGAGGCATCATCGAAAGAAATGGGTAACAGGCTGCCCCCCAACAACCGCCCCGCAAACTCCCGCGCACACGCTGGTCAAGCACCTCCACGTACTTAGGGCAACGGCAACGCTGACAACCGCGTGCCAAACTAGAACTCGAGCGGTCTCTTTAGAGGGGACCTCGCACAAAGGCCATTGGCCGCTATTTGGATTCTTCCGTCCCTCACTCCCCCCTCCCCCGAACAAAAATAAGTAGTACTATAGTAGCCGTCAACCCCATGGATACCGGTTCAGTCTTCACGGAGATCATCCATGATTTGGAAACGCGTGCCATGCGAGACTCGGCAGAGGAAAAAAGTTGGTCACAGACACACATGAAACCATTGCGAATAAATTCATCTCGGACTCCTTGTCATGGATACAAGATATGTAAGGAGTACACGTTATCGGGTCATTGATAAAACATGGAACACGCTAAAAATAGAACGAGAGAGGGTAATCGTACACGCATGCACGAGGTGGTGGACTGCTTGGTTGTCGTCACTCACCCCATCCAATTCGAAAGAGCAAGGCGTCCATTGCACGAAGCACGCCGGCTCCTTCCAGAAGAGCACCATGCCTTCCGTCGTCCGCACGCAGCTGTCATCAAAACCAAACCCTCCTCCTCCTCCTCCTCCACTTCTCCGCGGCCCTGTCCAGTCCTCTCTTCCCCCCAATCGCCTGCCACCGCCCTCGGGCCAGGCCGCTGCTCCCCCCAGCCCCCCACCGCCCGCGTGGCCGCCGCCGCTCATGCCTGCGTTGAAGGTCCCGCGGCCCCGTCGTCTTACCGCGTGATCCTCGGCACACCGGTATCCCTTTCGGCCGCTTCTGTTGCCGCCGCCGCCGCCGCCGCCGCTGCCGCGGGACGCGTACCCCCCCCCCCTCGCGCCCTGGCCGCGAGTCGTGCCGCCGCTCGCCGCCGTCGACGTCACCGAGCGCGAAGATGATGACGACGGCTGCTGTGACAAGGATGTTTGTTCGCCCTTGCCTTTCTTTCGACGGTCTCGGTCCGAATCATCGTTCAAGACGGTTTTGAAGGTGTTCTCCTCGCCTCCGGGGTTGTGTTGGCCTCTGGCCTTCCAGACCCTTTTTTTTTTTTCGGCGTGTTTCGTTCAATGAGCCCCATAGGAAGGGGGGGGGGGTGGGGGGTTGACTGGAGCGAAAGGTGATGCCAGTTTATTTCTTGTTGGCCGACCGTGTGTTCTTTTTTCGTGTTTTTTTCTGTCCTCTTGTCCGCATATGACTGCACAACAAAATCGTCCATCATCGTCTGCTTTCAAGCGATGCGAAGGCCCGATACTCGCTGGCATTAGGAACTTCCGCGCCAAGATGGGCACATGCTATACAGCAGTGGAGGGGCCTCAATAACGCCGTTGATCGACCGGCGCTGTTATGTTCCGAGGGAACGGCGCTACTTCAATGATGTACAGGATGACTATTTAGGTGATTCAGTCCGTGTTCAGCAATTTCACCGGGTCTATTCAGCCGGCCATATTGAGGGCTCACTACAGCAGAGTTGCCTGTATCTCGAACCGACGCATTTTTACCCCACACGGTACGTACTCTAGGTTTCCGCTACAAAAATAAAAATAAAAGCTGTGGGATGGTGATGTGCAGCGTCGTCGTACCGCAGAAGATGCCCATGTTCCGAAATACTACACCCAGCTAGACCCCATCGAAACAGAAATAAAAAGACCTCACCGATATCTCATTGGATTGGTTCAACAGACTCTTGAATAAGTCAACATCCAGCTGGTGTGCTCAAAACTCACTTTGTTAAGGGCGCGGGGGGGATCGCAGTACTTCCTCTTCAAAAAAACAGGAAACGCCTGGAAACGCCTGCATATCTCGGTTTTCCAAAGTCTAACTCCAGTACGAAACTACCATCGTAAATTAACCGTCCGCAGCGGTCGCTTGTGTACAATGTTAGTAGCTGAGGTTGTACCCCTTACGATACACTACAGACTAGCGGTCCGCGATTTTCCAAACGATCCTTCTATCATCGAGTTCGGTGAGCTACAAGCTAGATTTTTGAAGCTGCTGTGCGGTTCAATTTTGAAACGCTTCAAGCACACGGTGAACACGAATCACCGCTTATGTGAGTGTATGGGGCCGCGAACTTCAGCGCAGCTCTTCCCTCACATATCCAGCTGGTCGCCATTGTCGATTTGAATGCCTAGGGTCATGTATATGCATGTCCAGCCTTTAGGCAAAGGTGCTTGAAGCGTTTCAAAATTGGACCGCACAGCAGCTTCAAAAATCTAGCTTGTAGCTCACCGAACTCGATGATAGAAGGATCGTTTGGAAAATCGCAAAAGACCGCTAGTCTGTAGTGTATCGCAAGGGGTACAACCTCAGCTACTAACATTGTACACAAGCGACCGCTGCGGACGGTTAATTTACGATGGTAGTTTCGTACTGCAGTTAGACTTTGGAAAACCGAGATATGCAGGCGTTTCCTGGATTTTTCAGAGGAGGTACTGCGATCCCCCCCGCGCCCTTAAGACTTCAACACATGTGGTGCATTAGGTGTCTCGACGGCGGCTGGCGTTACTTTCTACCTGTAGTCGAGGGGGAGCCCCAGCTCAAAGCGAGCGGATTTGGCTACCTCTAGCCACTTCAAAGTGGAGATAAGTAGTAGTGCAGGCCTAACAGCGAAGGAGCTAGCTCACACACCGGCCGTCAACTTCATCGATCACGGGATGATGCTACTGCTGTCGAACACTTAAAACTACCGCTGTAGAAACTATTTTCAGGACGTATTGTGTACACGGGCACCTTTCGACCAACATGCATGCAGCTTGGAGGGAATGTGAAATACGAGCACGAAACACGGAATGAAATCACCTCACTTTGTTAGAAAATGGCCACTGCATCAGGTAGAAGGCGGTGGGTCTCCAGGTTGCGCGATAATCCTCAGCTGCGTCTCTGCGGGGCTGTGCTCTGCGTCTGTCTGCTGTGTGCTGTGTGCTGGGCGTCTGGCTCTCTGGGGGCATCGTATACGCAAGGGTAAGAAAATCACATCTGCGGAGCCCCTTGGCCTGGGAAGTTAAATCTTGCTTGTCGAGCTTGGCATGTCATCATCATGGGGTGTGCTGCCTGCATGCAAGGAGAGGACCATGAGACCAAAGACGTTATCATAACACAGACCTTCTTGTCAGGACGTATTATGAAGTAAGTGGTAGATACAAATGCCAGGAGCTTCTCCGCGGGCGACACATCACCAAGAAAGGCGGAGTTCTGGATCCGCCCGTTCGTACATACAACATGCGTGCAGCGAAATTTGAGGATTAGTCGGACCCCGCGCAGCAGTTGCTTTAACCGCCATATTTGGGTCGAGGAGAGCCTTTCATTGACCACTATATCATCGAGCATGGGATAGTTTATGTGATACAGAATGGCGTGGGGTCCATCGAGGTGCGTCCCGTGGCCCCAGTCTTGAAACATGACCTGGAGCAATTCATTTCCACCACCAGAAGCTTGGACTGGAGTAATCGATGTTACCGTATGTACCCCGCCCCCCTGAGCTATCAGTGACCTCGCGCAGGCTTGTTCGCAGCCGCTCATGTCGTTGGGTTTCGTTCTACTTTGTGGAGACTTCAATCACTATCATCGGAGGTTCTCCGGGGAGGAGACCACATTTGTTTCATTCCAACGACAGATCGCGTTCGGCGGCTCGGGTCAGTTAGCCGGCACATACGTGCATGAATTGCTTGTCGCCCAAATCAAACCATTTACAGGCCGAAAAAATCAAACCATTTGCGACGAGTAGTCATCGCAGCGCTGACCTCTGCACACCACGAACGTAAAATGGAAGGCCGCGCATCGTGGAAAGGTGCTCAACTTGTTGCCCAAGGCCAGCATGCAGACAGCAAAATTTGTCCCGAACAAACACGTTCCCGTTTTCCATCGAATCGCTGTTTGAATGATCTAGAGGGCATACCTCGAGCGACGACCACGCCGCAATCCTCCCCCGAAACCTCTTACAGCCATGATTTTACCCCCTCTCCAACCTCCGTTGGGTGCCAAGCACGACATCCAAAGGCTACGCACATGTGTAAAATCAATCGCGAGGAGACGAGCAACAAACGACGACAGCATTCATTCATTCCCGCTTGAAAAGTAGTACAAAAAGGGGCATGTCACGTACACTGCTTGTTGGGGCTGGGGGGGCACCCAATAACAAACACTAGAAATATAAATAAAATGGTACAACGGACAGAGAAGCTGTCGGATATCTCAGTCGCATATAGCACCACCATGCCCAGCGCCGAAACATGGCACGGCACCCCCCTCCCGGACACGGATAGCCCCGTGCAGCGGATGCATTCTGCTGGACCACGCTAGAACTACGACTCCAAGGCACAGGAGCCGTTTGCAAGGAAACTACACCAAAACTTCGCCATGAAAAATGCGGGGTTTGTTACTAGATACAGAGTTGATGGTTACAGAGAGCTCTATCTCTATACGGTGTGCGGCCCGTCGTCGCCCCCCTCCCCGCTCCCCCCCGCCGCGGGCCCGGCGCCGCCGTTGCTTCCACCCGGCTTCTTCATCTCTGCCATCGCTTTGTCCGTCATCTGGCTCGGCCGATTCGTTCGGACGCAAGGACGAAAAGAGACGGGCACGAGGGGGGGGGGGGGGGGGGGGGGGGGGGGGGGGGCCCCCTCTTTGAGAAAAGTGCCCCCGCACGCAACACTCACACTACGGTATCCCCATAAAAATAATCACACTGGGGAGATGCGATCCTTTTACATCATACACCATCATCCCCACGAAACAGTCACCCCACGGTTT